AACCTTGGTTTTTAACAAGGTCAAATCTCATTCAAATCTTACAGGAATTTTCTTTGTAAAATTATTTCCAAGTTTATACTTAAAACTATCCTCCCTAGGTCACGTTCCAGTCATAGAGAGATGAGATTTAATCATTATGAAGTTTTGAGAGCTTTCACTTTGTCCTTCAGTGCAGCTAAATCACTAGGCATCTCAACTCTTACAGGAGTTAAGGAGACAACAAGCCAATTCTTTCAGTTATTCTCCACAACGTGGTGAAGTTGTACTTTAAAAAACCCAGCCTTGGGTACTTGAAGCAGTGACTCTGTAGTAGCATGGAAGTGCAAGGCAAACTAATTTACCTTGCTGAGATAAGCCCTAAATGGCTCCTGCATTGTCTTAAATTATGTTTTTCAGTTAGGTAAAAATAAAGGTTATTTCACAAGGATTCAAACAACTTCTGCAGGTTTTTTAAGAAGTGTCTCTCTACATTATTTTTATCTGACCTGTAGACTTCCATAAGTAAGTGCATGTTGCAAGCATGTTTCTTCACAAGGTATTAAGGAAAGAGCATATTCTGCAGGAACAGTGATCTAGTCTATATTTAATATCCTCCTAAGATTGCTATCCTAACAGTCACTCTCAGTTACATACATACACTCCCCAAGAGCTGAGTTCTTTGGGTAAGTTTCAGTTGTTCAAATTCTGGTCATAAAGAGATCAAATTTTGCATAAATCTACAGAGCTACATTTTCTGTTACAGTAAAGCTGTGGACTTCAGACTGTGCTGGGCATACCAGTTTCACAAGCCTGGAGCACTCCTGTGCAGCTGAAACCTGCAGAACAGCCAGCCTGAAGGAAACTTTGGGTTTGGGCCTTGTGTTTTATCTTGGTGGACAGATAGAACCTTTTGTTGCAGGTGCCTGTGTGAAAACTCAGTTGCATTTACAGTGAATGTAATTTTAATGAATATTTTTCTCTAAATGCTTTTTTAAAAGAAACCTACTGCCATGTTTCAGTGTGTGCATTGGCCAGCTGAATCCTGTGAGATCAGCTGGTCAGGACTGTCTTCAGCAGACCTTATGATAAGGTGAACAAGAATAAACAGTATTACTGTTTCACTGTGCAGTTCGTGGGGAATGGAAAAAGAAGTACTTTGAAACTAAGAAAGCTACAGTTTCACTGGAGGGCACCTTAAACAAATTACAACAAGATTTAGAGGTTTACCACCAGAAATTGCTCTTGCAATTGGAAGCCAGAGATAGCCAAAAACGACCAAACAATACAACAAACTCCAAGGTATTTGCTTGTATTATTTATTATCTCTTTTTATACAGCCTGTTGTTATTTTTCTTTTTATAAGATATAATTTAAAGAAACTAATCACCAACAGTGACTCGTAAACTAGCTTCAGCAGCCAAATACCCCTCAATGCTCTGAGGTATAGAATTCCTTGAGCCCATTTGTCTCAAAAAGCCTGCAGAAATGTTTGAGTCTGAGCATTTGATTTTTTCTGCTTCATGTTTGTACCTTCTCGTAACAAATCTCCTTCTGTTCAGTATGATTAATGATAAGTATGATATAATAATGATTAATGAACTGTTCAGTTCTATATTGTTCCCATCATCCCCAAATTCATATACAGAGGTAATGAAATTGGAAGACAAAATGTGCCTGAGGCTTTTGAAGTGGTTGTACCTGAACTTGTGCAACTGCAAGTTTCTTAGGAAGGTCAGAGAGGGATTAAAAAAAGAAAAAAGAAAAAGGGAAAACACCCTTCCCAGTAGTGGTATCTGCTAATTTTCTCAATGCATTAATGGAAGCCTGTTGTCAAATATGAGGCTAGCCTAGGAAAAAGAAATGTCCCTTTCTCATGTATGTACAATCTAAGAGTGTATATTATACTATGGTGTATTATTTGACCTATCTTGAAATAAATATCTACAAAATAAAAATATGAATAGGGTTGACATTACATTATTTAGCTATGGTCAGATATGTTATTGCTCCTTTTGGGGGGTGTATCAGGGTTTTTTTAAGGTCTCCCTGGCTATGCACAAAGAGGCCTTAAATGAAGGATATGTACAACTTAACATGCACCCAGCAGGTATGTACTGGCCAGCCCCCAGAGAAGACAGCCAGGATTTAATGAGCTGTTAGGCTGAGCACAAGTATGCTCTCCACCCCTCATGAGCTACGTGCTGGCTGGGCAGGCATCAGTCAGGCAGGAAAGCAGGGGAGCTGGAAGGAGTTTAAAGGGTTGTTTCTGAGTGGTGAAGTAGCACCCAGTGAATGAAGAGATGTGCTAATGCTGCACTTCAGGTTTTGTTGTTGTTGTTTCACACAGAATTACACAATCACCTGGATTACTACAGTGCAGCATGAACTCGATCACCTGCAGAGGAAGCTAGATGATACAAAAATGAAACTCGTAACAAAAATTAAGGTACTCTGCCTTTTCATTAAAACAGTCAAAATGTGACAGTGTGTGAAAAAAATTAGATCTAATTATTAGATGATGTAAATATTTGCTAAACATTTCTTGTTTTATGCTGTTAGTTTTATCATGTTAGTTGTTGTAACTTTATCACTTGAGTCAAATTACTCCAGAACACCAGGTTATTAGACGATTTTGAATGTTCAAACAACTTAGATTTTCAAGATACTATGTAAGTTAAGGTTTACAATCTTTTTCATAAAAATCCCATTTCATTCAAAAGGTAATTGAAAAAATACACTTGGTGTGGTAAGGCACTGACCAGTAATAAATAGACCATGGCTAAGGCAAAAAAAAAATGGTATAAAGGAAAAAACCAAACCAAAAACCAAAAAAAAAAAAAGATAATGGCTGTCCAAGCAGATGGAAGTCCTCTTCATGTGCTTTTTTCTATACCAGTGATGCCTATGGCTCTTTTTGGAAGGAAGATGGTAGTACTGGTCTGTACACTGGATAGCTTTTCAGCTCTGAAAGTTTGAAATAGAAGTCTTCTTCATCACAGACACTGACCATAGCCCCTGTTTACTGGGTACTCTAGGGTGGATGACATTGTATAACGAGGAGTGAAAAGAATAATTAATTTTGCAGTTGTCTCAAAAACATCAAGGCAAAGTACAGAAGAAAGCAGTGCTAGAACTAAGCTATCTAATTGGACATGTACAATTTTAAAGATGAATGAAGTATCCTGTATTCAGCCATTCTGTATAAAACTCAGTCTTAGTTATATAAACCTATATGCATGTCAACTCAATAAAACTTCCTTAGATTGCCATTCCTTAAATTACTGATTCTTCTGCAGCTGAGAAAGCAGGCAGCATCTGATTTACGAGCACTGAGAGCAGAACTGACACAGAAGAAGATTCATTCTGCTTTAATTCTCCAGTACAGAAAATCAGGAATTTAAGAAGATGACATGACTTCAACATCTGTCAAGTCCACAAAAGCTCTTTAATGTATATAGAAGATGGGAATTCATTTATATGTTCTTGAAGTTGTCTTGTAAAAAGACATCAGCTATATAAATGTTGTGGAATTTATATACTAGGCTACTGAGGTACCACAGCTCACTTCGTTTTAAATCTTTCTCTTACTGTAAGATTAGTCAGCTGCTTACACATACAGTTTAAGCTAGTAATGTGTCTAAAACTAAGCTGTTAGTGGTATGCTGATGTTCTTTGATTAACAAAATAGCTACTAAGCAAATAAACCTATAATCCATAACCTGTTCTTATTTGCAGGCATGCACACTACATTTTTGGAAAATGATTAAAATACAAGTTCTGTAGAAATACAGCAACAGTAATCCTTTATTTAGCTATTTACTGAAGTTATTTTTGTCATTATAAGCATGCCTATCTATAAATTACCAATGTATTACTACTATATTATTATGAAGTATAATCTCAGCTTATTTCATATCTAGCTGTTTTTGTTCCTTTACTTACTAGGAAAGCCAAATGGACATTAACTGTCTTCTGTAGTTAGAGGAAGAGGGAAGCTTTCTCTTGAACGAGCATAACGATGATCCTGGTTCAACTTACACTATTGCATATTCTGTTTTTCCTAAGGTCCAAGCTCATGCATGTGCCAAGATTAACAATTCTCTGAAAGAGAAATCAGAAACCTCTCCATAGTAACTTTTTTCTAGCTCTTCTGTTTGCCTCTTTGCAAACCAGATGTATTACATTAAGCAGAACAATAACATTCTAGGAATTTATCTCAGCTAAAAGGCTGTCAAGGCTGTATTTATTACTGGAAGTAAAACACTCATGGGAAATGGGTTATATGATGAGAAAATTATGCAGCTCTCAGAAGGACTAACTTAGAAATGTCTTGAATCATACCACCCATTATCCAATTTATTTTCTTAAAGATAGAACTTAACAAAGATTTTTGTGCTGAAGTATTAAATTGACTATTAAAACTGCAACCACTGTAACTCAGTTCAGAGTTGAATCCCACATTCTCTATTTCAGAATTGTGTCTTATTTAGGATACAAGAGCAGGCAACTAGCTACTGGAAAATCTGAACCTAAATTTAAAAAAAAAAAAATCAACTCATGATTCTTGACTGCTACAAGGAGGAGTTTTATTATTAAGTCATCAGGCCCTCAGTTAGGATTTTGCAGGTCAGATATTCACTCCAGAAGACCTCTAAATTCAGCAAATATCTCACAGTATTTTAGCATATAAATGTAAGTAATAATACACATTCTCAAGTACCTATATTTGTGCAGATACATACATATTGTATATAAAATTTACCAGTTTCTTCTCAAACCTACAAACCAATGTTCTAGTGAAAAGCCTTCTGATTTTTCAGGGGAATTTTTTTCTTTATGCAAGAGCAGTAGGCTTCACCTTCTGTTTTCCATCATGTGTACTATCAGTCAGTCAGACAGCTCATGAAGTCTTCTAGTCTTTTCCTCAGTAGCCATTATGGTAGTGCTGCTATACTATGGGAACTATTTAGCAAGGGGAAAAAAACAACCCATTAAACAAAAAACCCAACCCAAACCAAAGAAACAAAGAAACCCCAAACCAACAAAACAACAACAATAAAAACAAACACCAATGCCCCCCCCCAAAAAAAAACCCAACCAAAAAAAAACCACCACCACCAAAAAAACAAACCCACAACTGACTACATCTATCTAATGAAATAAATTTTTAATTAATGGAGTCACTTAAGAAGGGCACAGTTGCACTTTAATCTCGTTGTGAAACAGTTCTGAGAAGCAGACAAGCAATGTGGGCTGTGAGCTGTAGAACAAGTAGAACACAGACAGGCAACATTGTTTACCAACCTTAAGAAGACAGCATTTTATTTAACAAAAAAATCTTGTAAACATCAGACAATCTTTACATCACTACAGATATTTTAAAAAGTTATACATTTTCTCCAGACAAATTATTTTATGAAAATATGAACTAGAAAGAAAATATAACCTGCTATTATCCCTCAGGCAACACCCCATAAAAACAAACAACAGGCTACTGAATGAATCTTAGAGTGTGTGGAAAAATAGATATACAGTTCATTAAATAAGCTGCTGAATTCTAGTTTCCAGGAAGTAAAATAGTTCGGAATGGAAGGAAACATCATCCAAGTCCTCTACATATTAATGTTCCCTCCTAAAGATAAAGTCAAAGATTTTTGGCTTTTGAAACAAAGGAATTTTCGTGATACATAAACACAGTGAAACTGGAGTTTATTGAATATTCCTTTCTAACAACAAGTCTGATAAAAATCTTAATGGCAACTACTTCATGGTACATAATTTCTTCAGTCTATAAAATCTTTTAATCTCTGGAAGAGTAACCAAATGCAAGCACAGGCTTCACCAAGTTGCATGTAAGCAACAATCTGTCTCTCCAGTATTTTATTTAATCTGATTCTAGAGTGACTTAGCTGAAATATAGGTTGGGTTGGGAAGTCAGGAGGCTGAGACTGCACCATGTGATTCCAGAATGAATACTTGCCTGTACCAGGCAGCCTTAGCAAAGGATCATTATGAGACTGCCCCTGTAAATCCACTAATGGGTCTTACTTGTTACCAGATAGACATTGGGTTCAAGCTTTAGCCAATTTATGGTAAAATGAAAAATGAAAAATGAAAAAAAGGAGCAGTCTTAAAAAAACCCCTCTGTTAAAGCAACATTGGAACTTTTTGAAGAATGAAAATACAGCTTTGCATATAAAACAACAAGATTAATCTGTCTAGTTTGCAAAGTTTTTGTAACCATAGTATATTTATATAAGGTCAAAATTTCTGATAGTGTAAGCCAAAATGAAAAATTACAAATTTTCATCATTCTAAATCAAGGGTTCAGATAGTTCTTACAGTGTCAGAGCTTGCCACATTGCTTCAGTTTGTTGTTCTGCTACAGCTTCCCTGGAATAGTCAAGACTATTTCCATTCCACATGCCAATGCCCCTTAAACCTCGATTCTTCACATACGCTGCTTTTAGAGAGATGCTGCGAGGGTCATCATACCAGACTTGGTGGAGGTGACCAAGAGAATCCTAGAAAAACAATTAAGGACTAGTGTGAGTATTTACTTATCTATATGAATATGATAGTTAAAGTTCACGGGTTTTGATTACATTTTCTGTTGAATGCAGTTAAAGGTATAATTAAAAACTGAGATATACAAGCTATGTAGATTTACATAGTGATATTTTCCTGATTAACCAATTATTTTTCACATAGGATAATTAAAAATTCTAAGACAAATACTTGGCTATTGTTTTACTTGTAGAATCTATGTTATAAAACAGTGGCACAATTTAACTGTAGTCAGATGAAAAGACTTAGCTAATTTGTATTTTAATATTTTTTTAGATACAGGTAAAATTTCAGATACACTATCTAACATAACAGGTGAATTTAGTTAGAGATTAAGTGGGGTTTTTTTAGCAATAAACAGTTTTAGAGGAGGTGATAAAATTTTGTCCAAGTTATGTTGCTTTGACCTGGTTGTTGCTTACAACACCATGTGAAACTCTAAACTATGTCTAAAGAATCAAGACAAAATGCATACACTGTGGTGTTCTTGTAAGCACAATCATTTATGGACTCATTCACTGTGACTATGTAGAAAGCAAATGCAGAAAAGAACATGCATGCAAGGCACTGAGATAGAAGAAAAGATCATCTCAGAATCTGTTTTAAGCACTCATAACCTCATGAAAGTAACTGTAACAGTGAAGGACAGAGCTATAGGATTTCTTAGTGCCAAGATGTCCTTTTTTGCCATGATACAGTATCTCAAGAAAACACAAAGTAATGAAGATCTTTATTACTCCTGTAGTCTTCAGGCACTGCACCCCTCTTTCACACTAGAAATTCCAGATACGAAGTCCACCGGAAAAAATAAGTAGAAAACATAAATGGAAGAATCTAATCCTGAAAACTTTACAGTCAAAGAACTATGGTTCATGAGTGTTTTCTCCATAACATGGTGTCTTAGAAAGATATGCTTACCTTGTATTCATAAAATGGAGACTTCTGTACCTCATCCCACAGCACCCCTGAAAGAGAACTGTTCACCTGCTTCATGATAATTCCATAGGGGACCTGTCTGCCTGCAGCATCACTGCAAGGAGCCCCACGGAAAGGTACTTGGGAAAGAGAACACACATGATCCTGAAAAAAAAAGCAGAAGGCATGAGTTTCATGTTACATAGATATAATTGAACTCCAAAACAGCAGTACAGCCAAGAAAATTCACAAAAGGCATCGGAGTCTCAAAAATCCCTAATCTTCAAGCAACTCTGGCAGATACACTACGTGTAGAGAAAAGTAAACTAAAAGTTAAATTTTGTTTACTCTGCAGTTATACAGGATTGGATGGATATCATTCAGCTTATACAATTATCTTTTCCCTTTTTAATTCACTCTTACATTTTTCATAAGTATAATGTTGTCTGAGATTCCATAAACTGCTATGCTTTAACAGTCACAGGTTTGCTATGGTTTGTTGCACCTGTCTTTAAACAGTGAGCTTAGTGATGGTGCTGAGAAGGCACATACAAGTGTTGTAGGACCTTTGGACATCATCTCTTCTCATACAGATAACATTTATAGCTCCTTAGTCAAACACAGTGCTTGGGTATAGTGGGGTTCAGGTTGTCCAAGGAGATAAAATGCCTTATCTGCTAACACACTGCTCATCAGTTATCAGCCAAGCAAAAGATTCTGTCTTGTGTCCCAGCTTTATGCTCTTATCCATCAGACCATAGTATTTCCTAATCCAAAAGCAAGATTTCCAAAATCTTGCTGTATCTTTCCAAGGAAAAAATTAACAGTATGTTTGCAAATGAACAATCTTTCATCTTACCGTAGATAGGTTTTGGCAGACATAGTCATAGCCATACCAGGGGACACCCATCACAAGCTTTTTAGGATCAATGCCCATATTAATGTACTCTTCATAGCCTAGATTTGAAGGAAATAAAAATTAAGATGCATTACTCCCTTTTCCTATGCTTTTTATTCTTACAACTGATCTACAGCCAGAGCCAATATAGGACTTGCATGATCCCCAGAGAGAGGCTAAAGGGCAAGCTCTCCTTTACCTCTACCTGCACACTCTATTTAGAGAGGCCTGCTCTACTGAGATGCTAGTAATTGCTCTAGTTGCTCACAGTTAAAACCATATGCCCTTAGCAGAAGCTCACAAGGACAAAGAAATATTTCAGGTTCTTTGCAAGCCCAAGCAGACACTATTGCTCTGGCTGCCGTTTGCCATTCTAAAGTGCTCTTCGCTCCTGACGGCTACTGATCACAAGTAACAACACACAACTGCTAGAAGTGTGCCTGTAGTGTCATAAGGATCAGAGATGCTATTTTCACACTAGGACACCACATATTTGAGCACACTCGAAAGCTTCAATGCAACCAAAAAACAAAAAGAAAGAAATGTCAATTTTTTCTATCTATTGATGTAAACAAATGGAAATGTTCTGACTCCTGAACATTTTGTCCTCACCAAGTAAAGTCTGCAGGTAAGGGGCATTGGCTTTTGCAATACAATCTGTCCAGATCTGGCTCTGTTCATCATATGACATCACAAATAAGAAGTCACAGGCATCTGCAATCCCAGTGTAGTTGTAGCACCTTCTGTCTATGCATGCTGGAGACCAAGCCACATCAAATGTTACCTGAAGGAAAAATGCACAAGTTAGTATCGTGTATGGCCCTTAGGCGCTCTTGTTTCATCTTTTTAAAAAAGCTGTAACTTTTCAAGACAGTATTTCCTACATGTTGCAGTTTAATACACCTTGATAGTAATGAACTATAGGAGAGGCTGCTCAGGTGACAAAGCAAACACTAGATTATAAAGTGAGTGCCCCACTAGTGCCCCTAGCATCAAAGAAATTAAAATATAATATGAAAACCATCTGACCAAAAATATGAAGCATGATGCAAATCCTTAAAACTTTAGTGACGGGTTTACCAAAACACTGTCAAGCTTTTGCCCCAGAAGGCTGTATTTGCCCTACTTTCAACAATTCATTAAGCCATACTAAGTGCCAGCTCACAAAAGGCAGTAATGTTGTATCTATAGATCCTCGTGAAGCCCCTCTTCTGTTTAAATTCATACAGATCAAAAAGGGTGATTCTTACAAGACGATATCACAGCTAACATTCATAATGAACCATTCATGAGAATATCCTATTTAGATCTGCATAAACTTTTCATATTCATATGCTAAACAGCATTGTCAAAACCCCTTGCATTTCATAAAGTGAATGTTTGTAAAAGGTACATTATTATTACCTGTGATCCTGGTATTTCTCTGTGAAAAGCATCTGTAGTTTCTTTAACAAGCTCTGTCAATGCATAATACTCAGGGGAGGTTTCGTTAACTTCTTGCTCTATATCGATGTTAATTCCATCCATATACTGGTTTTTTGCAAGGTCCACCTGGTGGGATATCCATGCTGCTCTTTTAGCAGGATCAATAATTTCCTTAAGAGGTACATCACCTAGACAAGAAGCCTTCAAGAGTTAACACGCATTGGCACCACAATAGTAGTAAGGAGGAAAGGCTTGTCTTTACTA